GGCTTTTACCTCCACTGCTCCACAGAAAGCGCTCTCATCAAGGTTACCAATGACTTTGTTGCTAAATTCAATAGACATTCTGAACTCTTACCTTACTTGACCTCTCTGTACCATTTGCCACCACTGACGACTTTCCCTTTTTTATATACTTTGCTCCCTGAAACACTGCCCTTGGATTCTAAAGGAACACCCACCTTATTTTCTTCTCTGGCTGCTCCTTCCTAGTTACGAATCTAAGAATCTTCTCCTCTTGCTCCATCCCTTAAATTTTCTTGTGCTACATTGAACAACACTAGTGATCCACAAGCTAGCAACTCTGACACCATTTGGGTGTCTGCAAGGAAAAGAGAATCTTTGGCGCTACCTGAGTCCACATTTTAACAAGGTACCAGGGGCAAGTTTGAAAACAATAGTCTATAGAATTTAGGGTTGCACCCACTCCTTATCTTCTCCAGTCACTTGCTAGTATTCAAAGGACCATGAACTGCCAGTCTAGATTTTTCTAGATATCAGATCCACATGGCCTTCTACCTCCCTGAAATTCTCGCCTTTTTTTTTTCAGATCTGTGAGAGCGCGCATGCACATCCACATCCACACACACACGTGGGGGAGGGAGAGAGGAAGAGACAAAATCTCAAGCAGACTCTGAGCTGAGCACAGAACCTGACAAGAGCCTAGATCTCAGCTAAAATCAAGAGTCGGATGCTTAATCAACTGAGCCACACAGGCGCCCAGAAATCCTTTTTTATGCCCTATAACAAAAATCAAACTCTCCTTAAGCTGAGTTCCATCATCTTCCTTCATCAAGTCGGTTCCTTATACAGCCATAAACATGTCATTTATTAATACCTGGTTTTCCCCGCCTCCAGATAAAAGCACTAAATCACTTTAACCTGTCCACTTTTCTCCATCTCTCCCCCAATGTCCTAATTCAAGCTATCATTCCTCACTTTAATTACTGCAAAGGCTACTCAACTGGTTCCCCTGCCCCCAGGATTGTCTCTTATCAATTCTCTATACTGCTGCCAGAATGAATTTAAATTTTTTTTTTTTTTTTAGCTTATTTATGATAGTCACAGAGAGAGAGGCAGAGACACAGGCAGAGGGAGAAGCAGGCTCCATGCACCGGGAGCCCGACGTGGGATTCGATCCCTGGTCTCCAGGATCGCGCCCTGGGCCAAAGGCAGGCGCCAAACCACTGCGCCACCCAGGGATCCCTGCCAGAATGAATTTAAACACAAATTCAATCATTTAATTTTTTTTTTGTTTCGAATGATTTAATGGGTTATAGGAGTTCTTAGGGAAAAGTTAATGAATTTCAAGGCTCTGCTCATTTTTCTAGTCCTAGGCTTTTCATATTGTAATTTTAGAATTAAAAGATCATGACCAGTATTAATAAAAAGAGCAAAACAGGTACCAACAACACACCCTGACCAACATACAGATAATTAAGTATTATTTCATGAAGATTTGGTTCAATTATACGCATGTGTGTACTGGGTTGCAAATTAATATATACTCCTTTTCGTGGGAAGTAGTCAACATTTTGAAAGCCACTGCTCTACCTTCATCTCAGGACACGCCACCCCCATGCTCTATTGGTTCCTCTTGAATATGGAATTTTCAAGAATATGAATATGTTCCTCTTAACCTCTAAACTGTGGCACATGCTGCTGCCTCTGCCTGAAAATCCCTTTCCAAATCCCTCAATTCCAAACACACCCACATTTTGTTATCTTTCAACTTTCTGCTTAAGGGTTACATCTTTGGAAAACCTAGAATCTTCTTAGTTTGAGTTAGGGGATGGCCCACATTCTCATTTTAATACTTTAACATTATATTCTATCCCTCTAACAGCCCCTAACACACCACAATTTCTGTAAGGCAATGACTACATTCTATTAATACAGTGCTTAAGGCTATGTCTCAGATATATCAGATCCTCAATTTAAAAAGAAAAAAGAAATGAAAGTTGGAAGCAAAAGGGCACATCCTTAGAATGCAATCGCTTGGCAAACAAAGGAATTAATTAAAAAGTAACTGAAGCTAAGGAATTTGACTGGAAAGCAATCACATATGGGCTGAAGGTGGTTAAAAAAAAAAAAGTGAGCCAATCATTGACAAATGGTCTTATTTAGATTAAGATGGAGATGCATTTCAGAGACAATGGTCTAAGACCTGTAATAAAAAGCAAAACTGGAAGTATATCTACAAAAGCTATAATTACATCAGATTGGGGACACAGGCTCAGTACATGAAGAAGGAAACCTGGTATACTGAAGCTATATTACCAAGGTTTCCTGTAAAACATGTTAGGATCCAAGTGAAATGTATTCAACTCAGAAGTGATCTGGCTTCTAATCTCAGGTTGTGAGTTAGAGAATGAGATGATCTAATTTTTGCTTTTGAAAGCACCACAAGTGCTTTCTGCAAAGGACAGATTCAGTAGAAAGCAGGAGTGGAAGCTAGAAGATTTCTTAGGAGGCCAAGAACGCCGAACAAAATAATGGCTTGATCTATGGTAACTGCTGTGGAGACAAGTGGTTGGATTTGGGATATATTAAGGCAAAGCTGGCAGATTTTGCTAAGATGAAAGAGAAATATCAAAGATAAATCCAATTTTGGCCTTTTAAGTAAACAAATCGTAGTAACATTTACTAAAGAAGGTTTGAGGAGAGGGTAGAAATCCAGAGTTCCATTCACAATGATCCATCACACAACTAGCTTTAGATGAAAATAATAATGAACGACTTTTCCTGATTAAACTTTTCATCTGTTTACGTCTTATTTTTCCCAGTCAATGTCGTATTTCTTCAGATCCCCATTGCGTCATGTGGGAAATGGGCTAAATAAAATGTGAGCCCATTTTAACTTTCTAGTTACTGTGCACATCCTTTTACAGCAATCAGCCAATGATTCTCCCAATTTCAAGATGACTTAGATGAGCTTCCTTTCGTTTAAAAAAAAAAAAAAGTTCATCTAATGAACAATTTTGGGCTCACAAATATACACACACACTTTTTTTCTTTAAGAGAAGAATGTGATAAGGTGTGAAGATAGATGGATGATACCAAAAACACACTTGGAGGGCAGCCCGGGTGGCTCAGCCGTTAAGCGCCTGCCTTCGGCCCAGGGTGTGATCCTGGAGACCCAGGATTGAGTCCCAGGTCGGGCTCCCTGCATGGAGCCTGCTTCTCCCTCTTCCTGTGTCTCTGCCTCTCTGTGTCTAAGTAAATCTTAAAAAAAAAAAAAAAAAAAAAAAAATTGGATAAAAATGACACGGGTCAAAGAAAAATAAATAGGGACGCCTGGGTGGCTCAGCCTGAGGTTGGGCACCTGCCTTCAGCTCAGGTCGTGACCCTGGGGTCCCGGGATCGAGTCCCACGTCGGGCTCCTTGCATGGAGTCTGCTTCTCCTGCCTGTGTCTCTGCTTGTGTCTAAATAAATCTTTAAAAAAAAAAAAAAAAAAACACTTGGATAAAAATGACACGGGTCAAAGAAAAATAAAGAAATAGGGACGCCTGGGTGGCTCAGCCAGAGGTTGGGCACCTGCTTTCGGCTCAGGTCGTGACCCCGTGGTCCCGGGATCGAGTCCCACGTCGGGCTCCCTGCATGGAGTCTGCTTCTCCTGCCTGTGTCTCTGCCTCTGTGTCTAAATAAATCTTAAAAAAAAAAAAAAAAAAAAAAACACTTGGATAAAAATGACACGGGTCAAAGAAAAATAAAGAAATAGGGACGCCTGGGTGGCTCAGCCAGAGGTTGGGCACCTGCTTTCGGCTCAGGTCGTGACCCCGTGGTCCCGGGATCGAGTCCCACGTCGGGCTCCCTGCATGGAGCCTGCTTCTCCCTCTGCCTGTGTCTCTGCCCCTCTCTCCTCTCAGTCTGTGCCTCTCACGAATAAATAAATAAATCTTTAAATAAAGAAAGAAACAGAAGCCTAAGCGAGGACTTAACTGCATACATTCTGTGTCTAATACGAAAGGTGCTTCTAAAGAAGTCACTAAAAAGCTTTCCACTCCTGGTAAGAAAGCTTCTGTTTAACAAAGAAAAAAAAAAATTTTTTTTTTTTCCCAAAGACACTTAAGCTTCCCTCGCTACAGATCTTCAAGACACAAAGCCTGAAGAGACTAAATCAAAACATCTTTTGGAATTTGGAATTTCTTTTCTTTTTTTTCTTTTTTCTAGGATCCTAAGTTTGATGCCCAAAGAGGAGCTCGCTGATGAACCGGAACTCCCCCGGCCCAACAAAAAAACAGACAGCACAGACCGAACACAAAAGCCCTGGATTTGTGGCTATTTTGATACTGAACGTGAATGAAAGCTGGACCATTTTTTCCTCAACGACCTACAAGTGCCAACGGCGCTCTGGCTGCTTTGATTCTGCGCAAACCGATGAGGGAGGAGGCCGCGGTGCGGGGCCGCAGCTCCCGCGGCGCAGCTCCCCTGGCGCAGCCCGCCGGGCGACGCGGCCGCAGCCTCCGCACCGGAAGTCCCCGCCGGCACCTCGGCGCAGGCGCAGAAACCACAAAGCAACCCGAAGCCGGGGGCTGAGGAGCCGGGGGGAGGGGGGCCCAGAGTCGGCCCCGTGCCCCCGTGTGCGCGACCGAGTCTCAGGGTTACCTCCTGCCTCTCCGCTTCCTTGTTCTTCTGACCCTGCTTCTTCGCGTACCACAGGCCGATCTCGCGGCCCTTCAGGTGCCCGGGGTGTCGGCCTCGGCCGCCTCGACCGCCGCCGCCGCCGCCGCCGCCGCCGCCGCCGCCGCCGGGGCCTCGGCTCCCTCCGTGGCCTCCTCCGTAGCCGCCGCCGGAGCTGCGGGGCCCGCCATCCCGGCCCCAGCTCTGGTGGTAATCGTAGCTCATGGTCCCAGCCGACCGCAACTCGTGAGAACCTGCAGCCGCTAGAAATGGCGCCCGGGCCCGGAAGCGGGTGCACGTCCACTTCCGCTTTGCTTCCGGCGCCCGGCGCGAGTGGGAGGGCCGTCGGGGCGTCACAGCACCCACTTCCGGTGACGTCACGGGCGGGCCGCCGCGGTGGCCCGCGAGGTGGCTCGGGCGACGGCACGTGCGACCCCAGGTGTCTGCCTCTGCACCTGCGGACGGAGAGCGAGCCCAGCCTCGCAGGTGTCCTTTACCGACGCCCAGCGTGTGAGGAAGTGGGGTTCGCTTTGTACTTTATTACGCGTGGTGAAGTCTGCGGGTTGCTTCCAACGAGGCGCTGAACAGTAAGACATCTCTTGACACCATAAGACAACCTGTGCTTGGTTCCACTTTCTCCTAAAAGTCTCCAAAAAAAAAAAAAAAATGAGTTCACCATATATATATATATTTTTGTGTGTGTGTAGCTACCCCCCAAAAATGAGCTCACCATATATATTTTAGTAGCTACCCCAAAATGAGTCACATATGTATTTTATGTAGCTACTCCCTCAAAAAATGAGCTCACCATATATATATTTTTATGTAGCTACCCCCCCAAAAGGAGCTCGCCATATATATATATATTTTTTGTAGCTACCCTCCCCAAAAAAGAGCTCACCATATATAATTTTATGTAACTACCCCCCCAAAAAATTGGCTCACATATATATATATTTTTATGTAGCTACCCCCCAAAAAATGAGCTCACCATATATATATATATATTTGTAGCTACCCCAAAAAAATGAGCTCACCATACATATATATTTATTTTCTATAGCTACCCTCCCCAAAAAAGAGCTCACCATATATATATTTTTTATGTAGCTACCCCCCAAAATGAGCTCACCATATATATATATTTTTATGTAGCTACCCCCCAAAAAATGAGCTCACCATATATATAGTTTTTATGTAGCTACCCCCCCAAAAATGAGCTCACCATATATATATTTTTATGTAACTACCCCCCAAAAAATGAGCTCACCATATATATATTTTTTATGTAGCTACCCCCCAAAAAAATGAGCTCACTATATATATATTTTTATGTAGCTACCCCCCTAAAAAATGAGCTCACCATATATATATATATTTGCAGCTACCCCCCAAAAAATGAGCTCACCATATTTAAGTATTTATTTTCTATAGCTACCCTCCCCAAAAAAGAACTCACCATATATATATATTTTTATGTAGCTACCCCCCCAAAAAATGAGCTCACCGTATATATAGTTTTTATGTAGCTACCCCCCAAAAAATGAGCTCACCGTATATATATTTTTATGTAACTACCCCCCCAAAAAATGAGCTCACCATATATATATATATTTTTATGTAGCTACCCCCCAAAAAAATGAGCTCACTATATATATATTTTTATGTAGCTACCCCCCCAAAAAATGAGCTCACCATATATATATATATTTGCAGCTTCCCCCAAAAAATGAGCTCACCATATATATGTATTTATTTTCTATAGCTACCCTCCCCAAAAAAGAACTCACCATATATATATATTTTTATGTAGCTACCCCCCAAAAAATGAGCTCACCATATATATTTATTTTTATGTAACTACCCCCCCAAAAAATGAGCTCACCATATATATATATTTTTATGTAGCTACCCCCCCAAAAATGAGCTCACCATATATATATATTTTTTATGTAACTACCCCGCAAAAAAGAGCTCACTATATATATATATATATTTTTTTTATGTAGCTACCCCCCAAAAAAATGAGCTCACCATTATTTATTTTCTATAGCTACCCTCCCCAAAAAAGAGCTCACCATATATATATTATTTATGTAGCTACCCCCCCAAAAAATGAGCTCACCATATATATATATATTTTGGGGGGGTAGCTGCATCTTGAAAACAGTTTGACACTTGTTTCAAATAAGTATAAGACGGTCCCTGCGTCTCTTACAGGGCTGTCATTATTTATTGCCTTTATCCAACAGCATAACAAGGAGCGTGGATGCCAAAAATCAGTACAGAAACTCTTAGGAAATTTGAATAAAAAGGCAGCCGAAGATTCACATGTTCCTGTGAAGCCATGTATGGTTGGTTGACCAGGCCACTTCGTGTTGAGCACAAACTCTTCTTGAATAAATCAAGCGACTGGGCCACATAGGCCCGGATGTTCACCAGAGGACATCCAGTTCATTTGACATATTTTTAACGGGTTTAAATTAAAGGTGCCAGGGATACTGAACAAGACAAGTGTGGCATCAGCTTTCATTTGTTTATGCTCTTGAGACGGTAAAGGCCAAAGAAGTGACTGTGCGACGAGCAAAGAAAGGAAGATGCTATATGCTCTGAAGGGGTCCAGACTACACCCCTGTGGCATACAAATTATTTTGAGCAGAGGCATTTGAGTTCCTGAAATATTTTAACTGCCTAAGAACAGAGCCTCCCAAAAGAATTCTATCATCATAAATCCCTTCCCCTGAGAGCTTGCAGGATTGACTCTTACCTCTGGAGACTAGAAATCAGCATCACACCTGAGCAGGAATTGTCACAAAACTATTGTGTATTCCATCTATGCTCATAAGAGCCCATTTTTCCTTCCTAGAAGTCGTTTTCCCATGAGTACTTCTCTCCTCCTCCCCTTCCCCTATTAAGATAGATCAGCCCCAAGTTCCAACCGTCTCCTTGAATCACATTTTTATGTGAAGTCCCACAGGTATGTGATTAAATCTGCCCCTTCTTTTGCTAATCTGTCTCTTCTTGGTTTAATTTGCAGGCCCCAAGAAATAAACCTAAGATCGGGGAGGAAACGATTTTCTTTCCCAACAGCCATAAGAGGTTATGGCAAAATAATTTGATTTTGACGTCAGGCAAGTCTTTCTTAAAGAATGAGAGATTAAGCAGTGACTTTTGAGCGAGGGAGACTTTAGCCAAACTAACCGGGAGGGGAAAGAGATGCTTAGCGGTGGAAGGAACAATGTATAAGAAGAGAAATAAGAAGATATTGGAGTGTGAGAAAAGTCTACCCTTAATGTCAACACTGTTGGAGAAGACCAAAGAGGTAGGAAAAAGCCTAATCATGGAGACCTTATATGCCACATAGAGAACAGCAGTAAACTTTAGGCAGGAGAGTGATTATTTTTGGCTACTTTGAGGAGAAAGGAATGGAGGAGGCAAGAGTGGATATGGAGAGGCTAGTTAAAAGGCTCTGGTTTAGGGGAGGCAAGATGGCATATGGAAAGAACTAGAATTAAGAGATATTGGCTGATAAAAAATGTCAGATTTGATGATTCACTGAACGTGGACAATTAGAGGAAAGCATCAGATAACTCTTGAGTTTAAGATTTGATTGACTACCAAATAAAGAGATACCATAATCAGAGATGAAAAACACAGATGAGGAGGTTTTTTTTTTTTTTAATTGGGGAAGGGTTGAGTTAATGCATTTAAATAATACGTGGAGTTTGAGGAGCCCGTGAAACAAAAAAATTGAGATGTCTGGATAGTGGTTGATGATGTGAGTTAAAAGCACAGAGAGAGCAGACTGAGATATATTTTGGTTAGTCCTTGGCAAATAAGATTAAGACTATAGGAATGAATAGTTCCAATAAATGTATTGAAATTCACTGGACATACCTGATATGACAAATATGTTAATTATTCAACAGGTAAGATTGAGTAGGCTTATTGGGGATGGTCGGGGCAAAATTTGAAGGAAATAGTGTGGATTGTTAGGTGAGAATGTTATGAACTGAATGGGTCTCCTCAAAATTTCTATGTTGAAGACCTAACCCTCAGGGTAGCTGTATTTGGACATGGGACCTCTAAGGAAACAAATAAATGAGGTCATCACATTGGGGCTCTAATATTACAGGATTAGTATCCTTATAAGAAAAGATATCAGAGAGCCCTTCTCTCTTTCCTCAGAAGAAAGACCCTGGGTGGACAAAGAGGCTGTCTATAAGCCAGGAAGGGTGCTCTCGCCAGGAACCAAATCTGCCAGCACCTTTATCTTAGACTTCCCAGCCTCCAGAACTATAAGAAATTTGTTATTTAAGACAGAAAAATAGCATAAATAGATGGTACTTATTTATTCATTAATAGTCTTTATTTATTAGACCAATAAAGTAGTGTAATACCACTAAAATATGTAGTGTTTTATTAGGGCAGACTGAACAGACTAATGGAATAATAAGACTAATAGAGAGTAATTGGGGAAGAAAACTAGCATTTATTTGTTGCCTACCATTTGCTAAATATTGGTCTAGGCAATTCACATTTGTGGTCAGCAAAATAATGACCGCCATAGATGTCCATATCCTAATCCCTAGAATGATGAATATGTTAAATTACGTGACCGAGGGAAATCAAGGCTGCTAATCAGCTGACCTTAAAATGGGGAGATGATCCTAGATTATCTGGATGAGCTCTATGTGATGAAAAGCATCCTTCAGGGAATATAAGGGAAGGGAGAAGAAATGTGTGGGAGATATCAGAAAGGGACACAGAACATAAAGACTTCTAACTCTGGGAAATGAACTAGGGGTGCTGGAAGGGGAGGAGGGCGGGGGGTGGGGGTGAATGGGTGACGGGCACGGAGGGGGACACTTGACGGGATGAGCACTGGGTGTTATTCTGTATGTTGGTAAATTGAACACCAATAAAAATTAATTTATAAAATAAAAAAAAAAGAATTTTCTGGAAAAAAAAAAAAAAAGCATCCTTCAAAGTGGAAAAAAGAGGCAGAAGAGAATTTCATAGTGATGTGATAGGACTCAGGCAACTGCTGCTGACTTTAAAGTTGGAGGAAGGGGGCCACAAGTCATGGAATTCAGGCAACATCCAGAGCTGGAGAAGGAAATGGATTCTCCTTTAGAGCCTCCAGAAGGGAACACACCCTACCAACCCCTAGATTTTAGCCTAGGGAGGACCCTTATCAAAGCATCTATGCTATAGAATTGTAGGGTAGTACATTTGTGCTAATTAAGACTCTGAGTTTCTGGTAATTTCTTATGGCAGCAATAGAAAAGTAATCTATTCCATATTTCACATGATCCAATGATAACCCCAGAGAAAGGTAGTGTTATCTCTATTTCCTGATAAATTCTATTATTTCTCTTCACCTCATGTTTGTTGGTCCTAAACAGAATCTCAGTTATAAATTCAAAATTACTGATTTTTCCTAACTTCTTCAGCACGAAGTAATACAGTATTGCTTGAGGCTATTGCTTTAGGCAGACATTTTGGAACAAATGACCCTGTAGTAAAAATCTGGGCAAAAGGAAGATTTCTAAGCAAAGACCACAAAGATATTAGTGGGAAGAAAAGTTATCAGTTAGTACTTTGGTTAGTGTGTGTGTGTGTGTGTGTGTATGTGTGTTTTTCTGCTTTGCTTAGAATCTGCAAGAATTCTTAGGTTTCCTAATGACAGAAAGCAAAAGGATTGACTGGCTCATTGTAATTGCCACTGTCACTCTGTCTGATGCTCTGCTTTGTCCTGTGCTCTGGGCAGGCCAAAAGATGTCTTTCATAAGTGTGCTCTCCCCTGATCATGGGCTGGGCACAGAATGCAGAACCATTGCTTTCAAACCCACTGTGCTTGGTCTCTAGGCCTACAGGCATGGGCCTCCCAATCCAGCCACTTCTAAAATGCAGCAAGGGTGAGCCACACAAGACCACACCACTATGGGAAACTAACCACGGATTTCCCAGTCTTAGGGAATCTCTTATTCTCCATTTTCATTACCCCAACCCCATGAAACAACTTTAGCATAATTTTTCATGGGTCTCATATTCTTGAGGGACTGGGTGGGAATTCTTTTTAGTGTTCCTCTTGGAAAATGGAATCGTTAATGGACCCTTACCTCTTCCTGGTGGCATAAAGAAGGGACCATGCTGATAAGAGTAATCCTAGATATATAAAAATCTGGCTGTTTTGGGGTGGGGTAGGGGACATGGAGGAAATGGCTCTTTTGAAATCAGGAAAAATACAAGAGGATTAATAAATAACTCAGTAGAGTATCTTGTGTATTTTGGAACTCAAATTGGGAAATTTTAGTTACCTTGAAAGAAAATTTGTGGAGAACATTTCCTGACTATAACAATTATAGTAAAATTATAAATTTACTTGAAACACAACTCACGTAGACAAAATGTAAGATTTCGTTATTATCATAATTTTTTATTACTGATCTAATATCTAAATTCCCTTCTTGCTAGGCAATAATGACAGAAACATCTTAAAATTGATAGTTAATTTTCCTTATTTCAGGTAATTATGTAATTCTTAATTAGGCCTTTTTCTCTCTTTCTTCCCCCTATCTTAGGGGAAGACTTGGTAGCTGGGGGCTGGAATCATTTGGAGGCCTCTCCATTGAAAGAGGTGGCCATCGATCCTGATTTTTTTTCTGGAACTGTAGCTGGCTATGGGCTGGAACACTTACGTTTAGCCTCTCCGTTTAGTTTCTCTGTGTGGCCTAGTTTTAGTCTCCTCATAGTACGACAGCCTGGTTCCAAGAGTAGTTGTCACAGAACAAGGTGGAAGTACGTGACATTTTTAGTAACTAACCTCAGAAGTCATATAGCAACGAGTTACTAGTTGAGATGGTTATAGATGTCCACCCAGGTTTAAGGGCAGTTAGACCTCATCACATGATGGGAGAAGATCTCCCATCATCATCCCACATGAGAGATATTGTGTCCATCTTCACAAGATACAGTTTGCTGTACGTGCTAACTTAGGCCCTCTTCAAACCATGTTGCACCACCGTTTTGACAGTTTTACAGACTTATGTTGTATGACAGACACATCTGCTATTATCCATATGACAACTAGAAGTAGGAAAAAGAATGATAATACTATAAGTAATATTTATTGAGTGCTTATTAAACGTCAGATACTATGAATACCCATCTTTTTTTTTTCTCTATGGCTTCTTTTTATTTTATTACAGGTAGAGTAAGAAACTCAGGGGATGGAAAGACTAAAAAGAATGAGACCTACCCAAGGCAAGGATACCATTGTACCTGATATATTTCATAAGAAGTAACGTATTCTTGTGAATGTCAGAAAAAACTAGGTGTCAGCAGCATTCATTATTCATTCTTCCTTGCTTTATAAAGCTTCTATTTTCAATCACTGAAATCTCATTTATCTATTATCAGAGACACTTTTGAAATAATCAACATATTTTTGGTTTTCTCCCCTCTAAATCATGTCCCCCAGTGGACATTTCAGTTATAACTCCAGAGAGGAGAGAGTGTGAAAGGCTTAGGAAAGATGATATGAAGGAATGAAAATCCCTGATACATAGAAAATAGAAGAACAAGGAAGTCTTATTATTGTGAGAGAATATGGGTTAGGTGGGGGAAGGAGGGGGAAGATGTGTTTGAATTTTGACCTCCCTCCTTCATCTCAGCTTTCACATTTCCTGCTTACAGATCTGAAAGCACACCATATTTTGAAATATTTTTTAAAAATCTCTGGTTACAGTTTTTTAGTGTATTCAGCGTTTGTGCTAAAGAAAAAGTTATTGAATTCCTGCATTCCCCTGGAATTCTGGGAGATTTTACTTTTTCGTTATCTCAAATTGATCTGTCTTCCTTTATGCCAATTTCGTCAGCTCCCATCACCAGTTTCCTTGCTTCTCTGACCTTTGCAGAATCTTTTGGACAAGTCAGGATTTTGTCCTGGTTTTCTTTCTAAAACTGGTAAACTTTCTAAAACTGAGGTCTCTTGATCAATGAACACCAAACCTGTGTCTTACCCAGATCCACCAAGGTACTCTTCTTGAATGTAGAAGAGAATCATATGTTCGTCATAGTAGGGTTTTTATATAACACAGAGAAGTTGCAGATTCTTAACTTTCATTTAGTATTTTAAAACTTTATAAATAATGGTATGACTAAAAGTTTTTACGGATAATCATATCTGCCTGGGCTCTTCTCATCCCTAATCTTTCTAACATCCACTTGAGAATAACTGAGCTCTAGAGAATTTAAGTGTAGATCAAACAGTGGTAGAGTCAGAATTAGAATCAGAGATTGAAACTAAGCCTTCTGATTCCTATCCCAGTGCTCCTTCCACTGTACAGCTGAAGTGGAACACACTTAACACACTTGAACTGTTATAGATGGTGGATATGTCATTTACAGTCTCTATAGAAAATAGATGGCAATCTTGGGGATCCCTGGATGGCTCAGTGGTTTGGCGCCTGCCTTCAGCCCAGAGCGTGATCCGGGAGTCTAGGGATCGAGTCCCACATCAGGCTCCTTGCATGGAGCCTGCTTCTCCCTCTGCCTGTGTCTCTGTGTTACTCATAAATTAATGAATACAATTAAAAAAAAAGAAAGAAAATAGATGGCAATCTTAAAGCGGTAATTCATTATTCAGGGGACATTTGTACATATACATATTTAAAGTATATATGCAGGTACAAAAGATCTTTTAAAGGGACTATAGAAGATTTCGTTAAGCTGGAGTTAGTAGTAATAGAGATGTTACTATTTCTAGGCCCAAGTGGATGAAGAAAGGGAGTACCAGCCTCCTGAAACAAAGTGGCATAGAGTCAGCTTTCTACAAGAATCAGTGACTGCTGATAAAGGGTAAGATCCTGTTCAAGGTAATTTTTCAGGGAAAGAGGAATAAATGCCCTGACCTCACTCTCTTCCTTGTTTCTTGTCTCTTGCTGGAAGTCCCCAGTGGCCAAACCTAGCAGGAAGCAGAGAACATTTGCTTCTGTCTGTTGCCATGGTTTGGTGCAAGTCAGGCTTTTGGTGCAGAGAGTAGGATGAAGAGTAGAGAAATTTGCGGAAGAAAAGTTAACATAACGTGCTCTGGTCCAGAGCATACCTTTGACGCTTTTAATTGCAGTGAACTGTAAATATTTCAATAAGAGGCAGAAATCAATCAGAGAGAATTTTCTGTCCCTTTATTCTCTATCAAATGCAGATATTATCTGTTTTCAGCCTCCTCTTTTAATTTAATTGTCCAAACATTCAGTGGCTCAAGAAGGTACTGCTTTCTTGGTGACTTGGGGTATTTTACAGTTAGCAGTAGGAGTGGGGATGTCCTCACCTTTAAGCTAAATTTCTGGAGGCATGATGTACTTGTCCCCCTTTTATTACCTTCTTTAAAGGTAGGTCTTGATGATACACAATCATTATTTTCTTATATCACTCAAAATACTGAAAGAATTTTTTTAAATTCTGTAATAGAAAAATAAAAAACAATGAGTACTTTTAGCAGGAAATTTATAGGCATTACCTAGTTTCCTTTTTAGTTACTATAGGTATCCTGCATTTGGGGAAAAAACATGCAGATAAGTTATAACTTGCCTCACAACTCTAGAGTGTGTAAATTATTGTGCAATTCTGTAAAAGTTAAAGAAGACATTATAAATTGTTATGCTAAGGAAACAATTATAAATTGGGACTATTCCAGGCAAACCAGACATTTTGTCATTGTAACTATGAATTATTGTCAATGTCTGCTAATTCCATCTGTTTCTCATGAAAAAAAAAAATGGATTCTAGGATCCATGTTAAAGATCTTGAGTGTCTTACATAGCATACTTTCCCTTGAAAACCACATAATTTCATTGAATTGGTCAATTTTTCTCTGTCCAATGTAAGCAGACAATTTGGGAATTTAGAAAAAAATTTTATGAATGAGTACTAAGAAAAAAATTTTTAAATCATTTAATTTTCTTCTAAATAATGAAAATACAAAGTCTTAAAGCTTCTATTAAGCAAGTGGGTATATCTTCACTACTATAACCAAATGACTATGGATTTGTCTCAACCCTACTATTTTTTGACCCTCATATTTTAAAGCTTTTGGTAATTGTATTTCTGTCAAGTGGTAGAAACTAAAATTTGCTTCTGAGATATTTTTTTTTCTGAAAAAATTACTCAGTGAAACTATGCTTATATGAAGGTAAACATTCTCCTCTGTAATAAAGTGTTTCAAGACCATGTAAATCCAGGAATTTAAATTGTTTTGCATAATATTGCAAAAGATTGTCATTGTGGTCATTTTGTATTTGGATTTTGATTGCCCCATGCCAGGAAGTTCCTGCTTGTTCTTGAGAAGAACACGTTTTTTTTTTTTTTTTTTGTATATGTGAATGTACATATGTTCTTTAGACATTTTAAAATGGAGATCCCAAGACTGTAGGAAAGACATACAAACATGATTTTCTTTGTATCTTAAGTTGGAGAAAAGATCATATAAACAAACTGACCTAGGGTTTGGACCAATATAATCTGTTCTAGAATCAAGACCAAATAACTCAAACCTTGGGAAGAGGTGCCATTCTTGGATTGTGGTATGCAGTATCTCTGCATCTCATGACACCAGGGGGGAGGCATTATTTACATTGAATTATAGTATGGCGTGTGATTGTCTAGTGGGGGGTCATAGCCTGTGGCACAGACTGGCTAGCTAGCTGTTCACCAAATTTAGGTGTCTTCTTCCTATGCACAAATAGATATTTTTCCCAGTCTCTGTTGAAGTTAGGAATGGCTGTATGTCTCCACCATAGCAAAAGCTGCAGTGACTGAGGTGCTGTTCTTACAGGCCATCCCTGGAAGAGTCCTTGTAGGATCCTCCATGCCCTTTCCCCTCCTGCCAGCTTACTATAAATGAGGATAATGATCATAAAAAGGGTAATGATCATGAAAAGTTGGACCTACAAGATAGAAAGAGCCTAGACCCTGAACCGTATCTTAAAGGAAGAAGCTCAACTAGTAAGGAACATTCATTTAACTGCCGCTGCTTTTCTTCAACTCTACCAAATCTTGCACAAATACCTCTCTTTGGCAGGTCCTAAACCTGAAAACTTGCCAGCAAGAAAGACTGGAAAATAGAGTTTTCAGGCTTCTAGCCTTGTGAAAAATTGAGGACATTAGAAACATTGGGATTTTCCAAAGTAGTAACAGAAAATAGACACCAGAGGTCATTTTTTTTCTCTCAGGCTACAGGCTCCATAGAAAAACATATAAGAATTTTGTAATTTATTCATTTACCAAGGAAATCCTTCCTATTTATTGACTCAGAATACAATACCATCACCATCTCCACTGCTAAACCCTAATCCTAACAAATATCTCAACCCAAACTACTAAAATATTGCCTCCTCTTTCTTCTGTAATTATGTTTCTACTTGTATAGTCTTTTCTCCTTGACAACTAAAGACAGTAATTTTATATTCAAATATGTCACTCCTTTGCTCAGAACCCTCCAGTCACTTCCCACCTCATTTAGAATAAGATTCAAAGTCCGTAGGGACCTGATCTGCAAGGCCTTTGTCCCTCCCTGCCCTTATCTGGTTTTATTTCCAATTATTATTTGTCTTTCTTACTCATTTGCATTTACATTGACCTCCTCAGTGGTTTCACAAAATACAAAAGGCATACTCTCACTTCTGGAAACTTGATGTTCCCTTTGCTAGAACTATGATTTCCCTAAACACATAGCATGTTTCATCACTGTATTTGATGAAATATTGCCTTATCAGTGAAGCCTTTCCTAGCTGAAGTATTTGAAAAAGCACTCCTTCCATCATTGTCCTGTTATTTTTATTTTTCTTACCATTTTTATTACCTCTGGTACCTACTTTCTGTCAATACATTTAGCATTACCTGAGACATATACAAGTACACATGTATGGTATGCAGATGTGTAGTGTGGAACTTAACCCCATCCAAAGAGAGGTCTCTCCCCTTTGAGGAGGTTGGAACATCACGCTTTATACGAGTGACTTTGGCGTGGTGGGTCAGCTAAATAGTAACATGTGATTTCAGGTGGGATTTTGCGTCATTCCTAAAGAGCTTGACTTCTTGAGCTGGAAATCACTCAGGTGAGCAGTCAACCATTGCTTGCCTCTGCTCCTACCATGATGGAGCCCCTACCATGATGGAGCCCCAGTAAAGACACCAAGTTTCAAATGAGCTTTTCTTCTTGGCAATATTCCCTATATGCTGTCTTACACTGATGGCTGGGAAAGTAATGCTAAGACTTCATCGGGAGCAGACAACAGAAGCTCCACATGTATAGACTTTTTCTGGACTCTGTTGTATGTGCTTCTTATCTTGGCTGATTTTAATCTGTATCCTTTCCCTGTAATGCACTGTAACTAAGAATACAGATTTCTGTGACTTTTGTGGGTCCTTCTAGTGAATTATTGAAACTGATCATGGTTTTGGGGATATCCCAAACTTGTAATCAGTGTCAGAAGTGAAGGAAGTCAGGGCACTGTATGGCTCAGTGGTTGAGCATCTGCCTTAGGCTCGGGTCATGATCCCGGGGTTCCTGGGATCGAGTCCCGGATCGGGCTCCCCACAGGGAGCCTGCTTCTCCCTCTGCCTGTGTCTCTGCCTCTCTCTGTGTGTCTCTCATTCTCTCATAAACAAATAAATAAAATCTTAAAAAATAAGTGAAGGAAGTCTTGTATGGATTGTATTCTCTAAATTTGCACTTGGCTCAAACTCATTATGTATATACATTATACATATATAATGTATATTTGTGTGTGTGTTTTGTTTTTGTTCACATCCATAATCTTAAGTACCTGGAACAATTTCTAGCATATAGTAGGCTTTCATTAAATGTTATAATGAATAAATGAATGAAAGTAACTGAATAGAATGAGAAATTAAGGGAAAATCTGATAAAATCCAATATTAAAGAACCATGTTAAGAAAAGCTTCCAAATAATGTATAACCAAATGGTTTTTATATTCTGAATAATGCTGTGGATTTCAAAATGGTTGCCTCTGCCAATCACAATTCTTTGAGATTATATACATGTTTATATTAACTGGGAGTCTTAGGTATTATGTCTTTTCAGTTTGTAGAAGTCACCACCAGATGGTGATATTTTTATTAGATAATAGTTTTTGTCTTCAGATTCATCAGTTTATAGAGAAAATAAATTATACGGAGTATAGTATTACTAATAAAGCCTAACAGGGTAAGGTATTTAAATATAGGATAGGATATCTATAAAGGTATTTCCTATGCCAGAAACACATTTTAACAATCATAATCACTTTAAATAGTAAGTAGATTTTGTACTGATGTAGCGTACTTACCCTTACTCTTTCTTAACAAGGATTGAGAGGAGCCATTCATGCTTAGCCGTAGCCCCTGTAGATTTTTCTTATAGCTTCAACTATAATTGGATTGGATGATGATGATGATGACACAATGACCACATGGGGTTCAATCCCAGAACCTTGAGATCATGACCTGAGCTGAAGGCAGACGCTTAACTGACTGGACCATTCAGGCACCCGTAATACAGCAAAACTTTTAAGTGTATCCAGTGTATAGTTAATAGCTAAGGGCACTTAAATGGAAATATCCTAGTTTTTTGTTTTTTGTTTTGTTTTTTCCAGTTCTCTCAGCATAGGTCCAAGTCCAATGAAAAGAAAATAATGCATAAGAGGGAAAAGGAGTATTACTGTCTTCCAGTTGAGTTCTTGTGCTCTTTAGATCTTGATTTCCATCATCCTCTCCTATGCATTGAAGAGCTGTACCAATCATAAAGGATTTGTTTCTGTTTAAATCTTTATTATTTTCTTCACTTTTATTATGATTCTGTTTCTAATTTCCTTGCTGCCAAAAACTGTACTTTAAGGCAACAAAAATCACCTTTCTCTTTTGTAAAACTGTACACCTAATTTAATATATCAAAGCGCTATTGAATATCCAACTTTTATCTTTATTTTTTTCAACTTTTATAACAGGCATTCAATGCTATTAATCTATAATATTTGATTTGTCTAGCCATCTGTCATTATGGTAAAATAGCCCTCCATTATGGGGCATCTAAGTGGCTCAGTCAGTTAAGCAGCTGACTCTTGATTTCAACTCATGATCTTAGGGTTCTGGGATCAAGCCCAGCTTAGAGCAGAGTTGGGTTCTGCGCTCAGTGGGGAGTCTGCTTCAGGATTCTCTCTCTCCCTCTGCCGTTCCCCCCCACCCCGAGTCTCTCTCTCTCTTTCTAAACTAAATAAATAAATCTTAAAAAATAAAATAAAGTAGCCCTCAATTTTAAGGATATAAAAAGTCTTTTTAAATAAATTTGTCATGATAATATGTTTGAATTTGAACTTATATTTATGCATTATTTGAGTCTTGCTTTACAAACTTTACTAATGGCATTACCTTTGCTTCCGAAGTTTAGAAGATGAGCTATTGAAAGATTAAATGAGAGATAAAGTCTATTGAGATAATTACTTTGAAAATAAGTTCTTTTTGGCAAAAAAAAAAAAAAGTCTTCTGAAGATGAAACATTCTGAAAGTTCATGTCAAGTAATTTAGAATTCTCAGTATAATAAAATAGAAACCAAAGTAAATTATTAAAAAAATAATAACCCCATCTGTAAATAGTAAATAAGATATGTGAGTGAGGTGTGGCAGTACACAAAATCAGATACCATGTAAAATGTCAACTCAATAACCTTGGAAAATAAATATTTCAGTAATGCATTTAATGTATGTTTAAAGGAAGATCAGAATAAAGCATTTTGAAGTAAAATCAATTTGTAATTTTTGAAATATACATTACTAATATTCTGACAAGGTGATTCCTGTTTTTTGCAATATAACATTTGCAAACATTGCATAACTACTTTTAAAATTAGTCTTGAAATGTATACCTTACACTCATTTAATAAAATATATTGAATTTGCTTGAGATATACATATCTTTGAGAAAAAAAAACTCAAAAGCACCTAAAGTTAGAACAATATTTGTACTAAAATTTTCTGTACTTCAAGAATGGCCGAGAAAATTTGCCAAATCTGCAGCTTTAGAAACACACTTTTATTTTTTTAATTAGTGGATTTTCCTCTGCTTTACCCAGAAGTTTGTTAATCTAGCTGAGTATACCTCACAGAACTTAATCTGGCAGTGTTTTTCCCAAATTTCCACTTAAATAAAACAATTCTAGAAATGATAATGTGTACATTTACAACCTTTTCCCAGTAATGTTTGAGTGATGGATTACTAATTCCACTTGTAACACACAGCATTTTGTGTCAAGGGCAGTCTTGACGTAATGAAAAGATGAAAGGAAAATACATTTAAGAGTGAAAGGAAGAAAAACATTTAGTAAGCAATTTGTACTTTATAGAAATGAAGGAAACAATTATTTACAGACTACAGGCATGCATGTTTCAAAGTTGGAAGCTAGTCTGCCATTTTACATGAGAATATATTTCCTAGACATGAGTGTAAAGCTAAAGCAGTAACTGTAATAAGCTTGTTTTGCTAGGCACATGTAGGCAAGTCTCTTTAAATAAACTCAGAGTTTTGCTACATTTCTTCCATTCCCAAAATATCTTCTTACCCCTTGCAGTAAAGGCCAGCATTATGTGTTGAAACATGAGCATGTGAACAGTATATTCACTAAATTTTTGCAATTTTCTGTTTACTCTGAGGATGACCAGAAGGCAAAAACTTTAGTAAATGAGGCTGATATTTAATCTAGAAAACAGCTTTAGGAATCGGATAAGAAACAAATCTTTTAATTACCACAGTGTGTGATCTACAGATAATACATCAAAAGCACTTAAGTGTGTACACAAGTTCCAGCTGCTTAGCCTGAAAACAATTAACTACAAAATCTGTAATGCTTATGTAAACCAACAAGAAATAAAGGAAATCAAATAGCCTCAGAACAAAAATGTTTAGTTGAGCAATTTGAACTCACAGACTCCCTTCTTGCCTTTATTAGACCAAATGATCACTGGTTACCCTTGCTTTCTTCCTCTCTTTTTCTGTAAGCTTTATTTAATAACTGGATTTCCTCCTGGTAACCATCCTTCTCTTGATGCTGCCGTTTACTGTTTTGCCTGTGTGCTTCAACAGTGTCCGGAATGGAGATGTTGATATCACCGTCAGGATTACTCGTGGGTAAAAAGAGAGAGTATGAGGCTGTTTCCCCTAAATCACAGGAAACAAATCTGTTTTCTTTCCGTGAGTAGCGTAGGGATGGAGATCTGACCTGTGTCGAGGACTGGCTGATGTTACTAATGATTGACACAGTGTCCAAGGCTTCTTCATTATCACAAATTTCAAGAACTTCCAAGTGTATTTTCACGCTGGTGTCCGCAAATGTGGAGGGAGTGTCTTCTGAGTTTGGTTCATGGCCAACACTTTTGGATCGATAGACTTCTATTTTCTTGGATGCTGGGGTTATTTTTTGTCCTTCTGCACTTACCTCATAGGTAGAAAGAGATAGGGTTTTCCCTGTAGGCGCTTGGAGAGACACGGTCCCCTGGAATGCACACAAGGGAATGGCCAGGGCACCACCAGAACGCTGGGGACAAAAACAAATTGTTATTATTGAAAGCTGGTTTCTGAAATTAGGCCATTTGGAAATTCATTTGATTTATCACTGTGGTAAAGTTTTTCCATTTTGGATGCATTTCCCTAGAAACCTTTATCAATGAGATTTAAATTCTTCCATCAAAATCCTATAGTTCAGTTTCTCCTAGGTCAAATATAACATCTAAATGAGGACATCCAGGAACCTATTTTTTGAAGATAGAAGACATATTCTTGTAGTTTAAGGCAAATTTGAGTATTGATGGGCGCAGCAGTAGATGTTTCAAAAGGCAGAATGTGGGCAAAAAATTGAATGCATATTTATAATCTGGAATTGCTTTTATGTTTTTGTTACATTAAAAAGTTTGCATAGGTTGAAAGAAATGCAGATTGTTATCAAAATGCACTTTCTTCCTGCTTAGTGTGTCAGAGAGAATAATAATTGTGAAACTGTGATTCAGATTAAGTATGAAGTATATTTCAGCTGTTAGGTTTGAGCATACAGAAGAGGAACCAGATGTCCCAGGAGTGTGCTAAATTGTGCTACCCCGTGCTTGCTTTTTCACAGAGAAATCACAGTCACTAAAGTAAATCCAATAATAGAGAACTTTCTCACATCTCTGCAAAAAACGTTCTTAAGGTTAGAACCTTCTATATTATATTTAAGACTTCACGTGTTAAGATTTTTAAAAATCTGTACTCACCATGGATAAGTACTTAAGAAATGAAAGAAAACAGACTAAATCCTATAATAGCCAGTATTTTATATTATTGATTCATGCCTTCTTACTTCAGTTGACTTGTTTTCTTTTTCAATTACGTTAGTCTCAGAAGATACCAAACTCCTAGAGCAATGTTCTGAAAGCTAGATTCCCAGATTGGTGTCATCAGCATTACCTTACAAATTGTAAGAAATGCAGATTTTTTTTAGCCCAATTCCAGATCTACTGAATTAGAAACTTTGGGGATGAGTTCCAGTGATCTATTTTAACAAGCCCTCCAAGTGATCCTGCTGCACAGTAAGGTTTGCAATCCCTAACTAAAGAAATGTTTTAGTCTGGAAAAAAAAAAAGGGTAGGAAGATGGTCAATAGACACTTTTTTTAAATTTTTATTTATTTATTTACAATAGTCATACAGAGAGAGAGAGAGAGAGGCAGAGACACAGGCAGAGGGAGAAGCAGGCTCCATGCACCGGGAGCCTGACGTGGGATTCGATCCCGGGTCTCCAGGATCGCGCCCTGGGCCAAAGGCAGGCGCCAAACCGCTGCGCCACCCAGGGATCCCAATAGACACTTTTTATACATGTGCTGACTACCTAAAAAGCTGAGTTACTAACTAAATTGGCTTAAATGTGTCTTTACAGGGGAATTGGCATGAGGGCTCATCATATTTTGCCAATTTAGGATGATCAACCTTCCTGTTTGCCTGTAACTATGCCAGCTTTAGCTCTGAAATTCTTGCATCTCAGGAAACCTCTTAGTTCTAGAAAAACCAGGATAGTTGGTCACCTTATTTGCCATGGGCATTCTGTAAATGGACCTAAGTGTGGCTGGAAGAAGCCCAGGACTTCTCTTTTACTAAAAGAAATTTTTAAGGGAGGATGTATCATAAGATTCATTTAGGTGCCTTCATGCCCAATTCTTTGAATTTAAGGACAACGAAAAATACAGTCTAGGATATATGAGACATGTTACCAGTCTTTTGCAGTTATTCTCTATGGAGAGATCTTGAATCCTCTTTATCCATAAAGGTTCCTGGGAACCTAATTTTAGGGCTTTGTACCGTAAAGGGTTGAAAACTTTGAACACTTACATTATAAAGTTCAGCTTACCCTTCTGCTGAGGCAAAAAACTTCATCAACTTCACATGTGTGACTGAAGCAAGGGAAATAGGGACAATACTTAGGTTCATTACTATACCAAAGCATTGTTTGAGTGGTAGCACTTTCAGCAAAGGGGAAATGGCCTTCATTTATTTATTTTTTAATTTATCCATTCATTAAACATTTGCTGAGTGTTATAGTAGTCCTCCCTAGCCACAGTTTCACTTTTCACAATTTCAGTGTGATCTGAAAGCAGACGATCCTCCTTCTGCAGTATGATCAGAAGGTCAGTAGTAGCACAACACTATGTCACAGTGCTTGTGTCATTCACCTCACTTTCATCTCATCATGTAGGTATTTTATCATCTCATCACAAGAAGAAGGGAATAAATACAGTGCAATAAGATAGTTTGAGAAAGACAGAGAACACATTCCCATAACTTTTATATACTGTTTTAATTGTTCCATTTTATTATTTATTATTTCTGTTCATCTCTTACTGTGCCTAATTTATAAATTAAACTTTAGATAGGTATGTTTGTATAGAAAAAAGCATAATATATTTTGGGTTTGGTACTAACAAGGGTTTCAGACATCCATTTTGGGTCTTGGAATGTATCCCCTATGGATAAGGGGTGAGTACAGTGTGCATAAGATTCTGAACTTTCATTGGGTACACAGATGTACTATCTCTTCCTTCAAAGACCTCATAGATATAATTGGGTGACAAAAGCATGTAACAAAGAAAATAAAATTTTAGTTCCAACTATTTTAGTAGAGATGGGAACCAAGCTCTATGGAATCCAAGGAATGACCACTTTTGGTAAAGAGATTTCATACCTGGATGGCATTTGAAATTGATCTTAAGAATTAAGAAAAGAGGAATCAGAAAAGACCCCAAATAGCCAGGGGAATTTTAAAAAAAGAAAACCATATCTGGGGGCATCACGATGCCAGATTTCAGGTTATACTACAAAGCTGTGGTCATCAAGACAGTATGGTACTGGCACAAAAACAGACACATAGATCAATGGAACAGAATAGAGAACCCAGAAGTGGACCCTGAACTTTATGGTCAACTAATATTCGATAAAGGAGGAAAGACTATCCACTGGAAGAAAGACAGTCTCTTCAATAAATGGTGCTGGGAAAATTGGACATCCACATGCAGAAGAATGAAACTAGACCACTCTCTTGCACCAGACACAAAGATAAACTCAAAATGGATGAAAGATCTAAATGTGAGACAAGATTCCATCAAAATCCTAGAGGTGAACATAGGCAACACCCTTTTTGAACTTGGCCACAGTAACTTCTTGCAAGATACATCCACGAAAGCAAAAGAAACAAAAGCAAAAATGAACTATTGGGACTTCATCAAGATAAGCTTTTGCACAGTAAAGGATACAGTCAACAAAACTAAAAGACAACCTACAGAATGGGAGGAGATATTTGCAAATAACATATCAGATAAAGGGCTAGTTTCCAAGATCTATAAAGAGCTTATTAAACTCAACACCAAAGAAACAAACAATCCAATCATGAAATGGGCAAAAGACATGAACAGAAATCTCACAGAGGAAGACATAGACCTGGCCAACAAGCACATGAGGAAATGCTCTGCATCACTTGCCATCAGGGAAATACAAATCAAAACCACAATGAGATACCACCTCACACCAGTGAGAATGGGGAAAATTAACAAGGCAGGAAACCACAAATGTTGGAGAGGATGCGGAGAAAAGGGAACCCTCTTACACTATTGGTGGGGATGTGAACTGGTGCAGCCACTCTGGAAAACTGTGTGGAGGTTTCTCAAAGAGTTAAAAATAGACCTGCCCTACAACCCAGCAATTGCACTGTTGGGGATTTAACCCCAAAGATACAGATGCAGTGAAACGCCGGGACACCTGCACCCCGATGTTTCTAGCAGCAATGTCCACGATAGCCAAACTGTGGAAGGAGCCTCGGTGTCCATTGAAAGATGATGGATAAAGAAGATGTGGTTTATGTATACAGTGGAATATTCCTCAGCCATTAGAAACGACAAATACCTACCATTTGCTTCGACGTGGATGGAACTGGAGGGTATGATGCTGATTGAAGTAAGTCAATCGGAGAAGGACAAACATTATATGTTCTCATTCATTTGGGGAATATAAATAATAGTGAAAGGGAATAGAAGGGAAGGGAGAAGAAATGGCTAGGAAATACCAGAAAGGGAGACAGAACATAAAGACTCCTAACTCTGGGAAATGAATTAGGGGTGGTGGAAGGGGAGGAGGGCGGGGGTTGGGGGTGAATGGGTGACGGCACTGAGGGGGGCACTTGACAGGATGAGCACTGGGTGTTATTCTGTATGTTGGCAAATTGAACAATAAAAAGTAAATTTATCATTTAAAAAATGAAAAAAAAAAGAATTAAGATTTACAGTTTCAAAAGCTTTGCTTTCTGAGTGGTAAGTCATGAGAAGAAGAAATTAAAAACTTCCTATCCTGAGAACAGTTAAAAAGAAATTAAAACAATTAAGAAGAAATTTAAAAATTCCTATCCTGAGAACAATTTTTATCAAAGACAGAAATTTGCTTTTTCTATGGACTGAAATAAAAATAAAAATGGACTGAAATGTTATTTTTTTTAAAGATTTTATTTATTCATAGAGACAGAGAGAGAGAGGGGGGCAGAGGAACAGGCAGAGGGAGAAGTAGGCTCCATGCAGGGAGCCCGATGTGGGACTCCATCCAGGGTCCCCAGGATCACACCTCAGGCTGCAGGCGGTGCTAAACCGCTGCGCCACCAGGGCTGCCCTGAAATGTTATTTAATCAGAAAATTTGTCATTTAATGATGTGAATTATAAATACTTCCTTCTTCATTCTGAGAGCTAGTAACATGAAAACTTAACTTCTTTAGATTATACTTTATTGCAAGAAGAAAAAAAGGCCCCCTCTCAGTGCTTAAAAAATTGTTTTCTCGTCGACATAGTACTCTATATAAACAAAGTCCTATGGAGTACACTAGTTTAAAAAAGAAAAATGGGATGAGAAACTGAGTCATCAGACAGTGTTTAGCAGTATTGGCTTGTCTGTCTTAAAAGAACCTTCACTAGAGCATCAATAGTATGACCGTATCTTTATCTGTATCTTTATATTAATTGTGCATCACTGATG